TCTATCTATCTATCTATCTATCTATCTATCTATCTATCTATCTATCTATCTATCTACCTATCTATCTATCTATCTATCTATCTATCTATCTTTCTTTCTATCTATCTATCTATTTATCCATCTATCTATCTATCTATCTATCTATCTATCTATCTAGGAAGAGCTAGGGAAGGAAGAGTCTCGTCTATTTCAAAGTTCAAGTTTAGTGTCTGAAGAAGAGTTCAATAAACCTGACAGGAAACACCAGATTAAATTAATAAATCAATCTAATAATTATTTAGTTAGTTAGTTAGTTAATCAATCGATCAATCAATCAATAGTTCAAGGAGCTGTTGAACACCTCTCTAGCTTCAGGAATTGAATTGAATTGAGGTTAGTTAGTCCAGAACACAAGCAATCACTCCATAAGTCATTCAGTTAGTTTGTTAGTTCATAACAGACAAAATCAGTTAGTCAGTCAATTAAATAATCAATCAATCAATTAGTCAGCAAATTAAAGAATCACCAATCTTTCAGTAATCAAGCCATCAATCAGCTAATCAGTCAATTGAATAAACAAATAATTAATCAATTAATCAGTCATTTGAAGATATCAACCAATCAATTAATCACACAAGCAAGAAAATATCCATTATTTTAGTTTACCAATCAATCAATTTATCAATCAATTATTCAATCAAAGCGTAAAAAACCGAAGTCACTCAATATATCAATCCAATGATATAATATTAGTTAAAATTAGCAAAATTGTGCGATGGCTGACTCAATCAAGGAAATTGCTCAATAAAGCAAGAAATTATAGCAATATCTCTCAATAAGTTTATCAATCAATTAATCAATTTCCATTAATAGAGAGGAATGTCCAATTCACAATGGTACCCTTTGTCTGGTCAAGAAGGAATGAGATTTTATTTAGTCTTCGAATACCTCCTCGTTGTTACTGAGATAAAGGTTTTCAATGGTACCGTTGTGAATCTGACATGGAGATGAAGTGAGTAGATACTTGAAGCTGATGATTGTCTGGTGTTTAGACAAGTTCCTGGTTGGGTCAAGCTAGTTGTTGGTTTTGCCAGACATTATTTCTAGTCAAGTNCCCCCCCCCCCCCCCGAATCACAACGGTATCCTTTAAACTTTTATTTGAAATACAATTTAGATTGATGAAGATAGCCTCGTTTTTCTTTCTTAAAAACGGTTTATTTATGTCAATTTTCGTTTTGGTTCCTTAAGTAGAAATGCGCAAGTCACTCTATAGTGAAACTACAATAAAGAAACCAATGTTTAAAGGAAAGATCAAGTAAATCTGATGCAATTTTGATCAGACATTTAGCAATTAGACTGTAAATAAAAATAACGTCTATAGTTCCTTTTATTTCAAGTGACCCTTTACGCAATGAGTGCAATGCAATTTCCAGTTCGTTGTGTACGTAGCGTACACTGGAAATTGCAGCTGAATACAAACAGGGTTTAATAAGTTTACACACATATCTCTGTACTGGACGAACACACATGTTTTAAGGGTACCGTTGTAAAACGGGCATTGCCCTCTTAGCATGTAGGGTCACTGGAATTTCTTGTACAGTCCCTTTAAATTATTAGTTTGGACTGATGGATGTTGCCGGTGTGGATGAGATGGGTAACCTGGATGATATGCTAGAGGGGGATGATGATCTAGAGGTAATTAGTTTATATCAGGAGTATTTAGTTTAAATAACTTAATTTCTACATTAACTGGCCAGTGCATCCTTCTTTTTCATCCTTATAAAAAAATCGTTTTTAATCCCGTTAACATCATGATCTATAATCTCCCATTATTCACAAAGATTTTTTGCAGATTTTCTGGAATTTTTTTGGGGAAAAACGATAAAGAATATGTAGAAATCTGCGAATAAATTCATAGAAACTTAAGAAATTTTTCTTCCACTTATTTACATTTTTTTATTCAGGCCGAACTTGCAGCATTAGTATCTGGAGGCGGTGGACAAACTAGGAATTTATTCATTATTATCTGAAGAGCCCGGCGTTGCCCGTGGAAAAAAAATTTAAAAAAAGATGTTGAAAAAAATGTCAATTTTTTAGCCTATAACACAGGCACCCATGAGTGTCCACAAAAAAATTTCAGCCCAACTGGTTTAGCCGTTTAGCCGCCTAAACGCAACATATATATATATATACGAATGTCCTGTTTTATTATATAGATTGTTTTTTTCCTTCATATTTTTTCCCAAAAGAGTAAGAGTCACTGAAATAAGTATAAAATTAATCTGTTAGAAGCTTCAATTTATTGGGACTTATTTTCAACCTGAGGCTGAATCCGAATCTACAGTGAGAACCAGAAAACTTTGGAATAGGAAAACGACTGTTAGACTCAAGTTAAGACTTTAAATAGTCCAATGAACATGAGCAACAGCAATTGTGCAATGTAAACAGACTCATTAATCTTACATTAATCTTACTTAGTGATTTAACAAGTTACTACTGTGAATCCCAGATATATGAATACATAACCTCTCATAAGTTTTATCATAATTCTGAAGAAACTTCTTTTTATTTTTAATTCAAGGTAAATTAAAAGCCCTAAAATAAGAATGCAATTGATATATAAATATTAAACTCATTCTCTATATCCAACCTGGAAATATATTCTCTATATCAATATCTTGAGATATATTCTCTCTAGAATACATCATATATCTGGGATTCACTGTAGTAAAACTATTTGTTTTTTAAAAACATCAAATGTACTTCAGTATTGCTTTGATGTCGTCTTCCTATTCTACAGTTTTCTGGTTATCACTGTAGTGTATGTTTCATTTAAAAATATAGTAGATACCTAGTACCCCTAATAATAACCCAAAAGTTTTTATATTACTTTTCAGTTGTTGAAATTGAGAGAAAAAATCAAATTGAGCTTTGTTCTGGTCGTTAAAACTCATTTTATGCATTGCAGATTTGGATCTGGTTTTATCTAAATAGTTGTTTAGCAAATGTCAAAGATATTTTTTTGTTCTATGCATTGCCCTTGGAATCCATTTCATTTTGATGTGGATCCTGGATCCGTCCTGTAAAAATGGATCCGGATCCAAATCATGAACATTAAACAATTAACATATCTTTAAAAATAACCAAAGAATAATCTTTAAATTATTTTACTGTTTGTTTGTTGCTATTTTTATAATTAAACTTGATTAACCGTTCAGAGATAAGGAAATTTATTATAATTTCTCTTTTCAACAGGCTCTGGAATGCGGAGCCTCATATTTTTTCGGATCCGGATCCTAAGCAATGGTTTATGCTATTGAAGATTTTTTTATCAATTAATTGGCGAAACTAAATGTTTCTAAGAAGAGAAGTGGGGGGGAATTTTATCATTCTATCTATAGATTTTATTCGTAAAAAGTAATTAATGAATTATAAT